GAGTAGTACTCCATTTTATAAAAGAACCACATCTTCTTTGTCCAGTTTCCAAGGGCACTTGGGCTATTTCCAAGCTTTAGCTATTACAAACTGTGCTGCTATGAACATGGGTGCATGTATATCACTGTGGTATGATTCTTTTAATTCTTTGGGGAAGATAACCAGCATGGGAATAGCTGGGTCAAATGGGACCTCTAACCCTAATTCTTTGAGGATCTCCACGCTGATTTCCACAGTGGTTGCACCAGTCTGCACTCCCACCAACAGTGGAGAAGGCTTCCTTTCTCCCCACACCCCCACCAGCATTTGTTATTTGTTGATTTCTTGATAGCAGCCATTCTTTCTGGGGTGAGGTCCCCTCTTTTAAAACCAATTACTTCTATTTTGATATTGTGTCTTCATTCAACTTTTACATTTTCCTGTTGGAAATTGTCAATTTAAAAAATAAACTCTTCACATGTTAAATCTAGCAATCCGTTGACTAATTTTATCATATTCTAGAGGCTCATGTAAAAACACAGACTTGATTTGAAGTGATCAAGAAGTCAATGGGTACTTTATCTTTTCTCCTTTGCTTTTATTTATTTTTTTCAGTAATGGAGGCCTTTATACTCACATTAGAGAACTTATCTTTTCTCTTTCAGGCTGACCTAGAAAACTCAATAGTTTTGCTTAAAGTTGGAGGAGTGAGTGGAGAGTACTGGGAGTACTGGGAGAAGGCGAAGAAATGTTTTAGGATTGAGAGAGCGTGACTGAGGGGTGAGTAGCTGGCAGTGAATAAAGGTAAATCTGTTTAGAGATTCAGAGATGAAGTGTCAGGGTAGGTGGTAGGAGGTGGGTGATGGGGCCAGATATTGAGATTGGGAAAACAGTGACAAAGAGTGACAATGACGTTTATTGCAGAGGCTGGACTCTGTCTGCCAGAGTCTGAGCTTCAGCTACAGGCAAACAGGGGCTTAATAATTGTTCAAATCATTAGGGAAAAGTGAGAGCTGGCCTTTCTCTTACACAACTTCATCAATGACTTGTCCTGATTCTTTTTGAGAATTCACTTTGATGGAGAGCGAACAAACTAAAGCCCCTTGGGACTAGGAAAGAACAGTGACAAGAAAAAGACAGAGCAATGGACAGGTGAAAGATTCGGACATATTTTCCCCATCTGGCTGGGATCGATGCATTCGAACAGTGTTTGGGTCTGCCAGGAAAGGGGAGATTGGGCGGGTCAGGTAACAGGTAAGGAACTTGTGAGTTCTTAGGCAGGGAGGGAGCAGGAATCACGACAGGTGGAATAGCCTCCCACACCACATCTGTGGGCAGCCCGCACGTCAGGGATGTATCTACAGTGGGATTGTGAGGGGAACCTCTGGTCCTGATTCCTTCTGTGTCAAAGTTTGCCAACTCTGCAAAAAGATTGCAAGACAGAAGCAACAGATGCTTTACTGTGTCTAGGTTCAGAGTCATAGTTTATATACAATATTGGTCAATGATAGAAAAAGAGCCAAAAATATGTTAGCAGGGATTAAATAGCAAACCAGATATAGCTTGTGTGATCATTTTTGGATGATGCAAAATAGCGTACTGTCTTTGGTTTGAAAGCATATTAATCTATTTGGAGTTTTTTACTTGAGAGGTAAATGCTGGTGTTAAGGAAATGGAAATGAAAATGGATAGTTCAACTCAGAACAAAACCTTATGCAGAATGAATCTTTTTTAAATGCTTTAATAGCAAAGAATAATTTTTAAAAAAACGAATTTCCTGTTGTTCATTTTCTGGAGATCCCTTAGAGCAATCAAAGCTATTACTGTCTAGAACAAGCTTGGCAAACAAATGTCTCACTGGGTTACAAGTAAGGGAAATACCAACATTAAATTCTACCAAGTTGGGTTTCTTCCTTATTCTTTTGAACCTCTGGTAAATCTTTATAATTTCTTTTTTTTGGTACACTAACTTGTGAATATATGCTGGAAATTATCTTGTCATGAAGCAGATATACTATTGGGACTAAAAATTGTTAGGAAACGAAGTTTTAAACCAATTCTCACACCAGTAATTTGCATTCAGTAACCTAAACACATAGATGGACAGATGACATTCTATTGTTCCAGTTTCAGTTAATGGTTCAAAGCTGAGCACAAAGCAGCAAATACTTTTTGCATTGCAAAGAAGGAAGCTAGACACAGAGTCCTGTGACAGAGAAAGGATTTGGGACACAGAGTCAGGCTGGCCAGACAATGGCTTGGCCCTGAATGTACACAAGATCACCAGCATATCTGCCTCCAAGGAGCCTCTTATAAATCTAGGAGCAGCAATATTGGAGGCAATTGGGGCCTAGGGCATGAGGGCCACTCATCCAGCCAACCTAGATGTATGGCATGAATGTCTTTTTCTAGCGTCCTCCAGTTGGATGGGCCTGGGCATCCCTGGGCTATGCTCTAAGAGTGGGTGTGAGTGTGTGAGCCACTCCCGAGGGGTACATGTCCTCGGAATGTCAGCGTGCTACTCACTAGACACTGTTGTACAACATTGATGAAGGTGAACCAGTTTGGGGACTTCCAGCATTCAACAGGCCATTAAAAAGTTTTATGCAGACTCAAAACTCTGAAACTGATAAAGACCTTAGTACGTAGCCAGTCTCTGGTCATGGAAAGAGGATAAATCTCTAGCACCTGTGCTTTGAGGCATTATTTCACTTGTCCGCTGCAGGGAAGGGTTCAGCCGGTGAAATTCCTTCCAGAAACCTTGAAATGGTACAACACAATGGCTGGCTTTATTGGAAACAAGGTGCCCTGGTGCATACCAGAGATCTCTGTCTTCCCATCGGATAGATTTCCTAGATGGCTGTGGGTCAATGTGCAGCCCTGGTATGGGCACTGCTGTATTGTAACCCACAGAGCGACATGAAATGATTTCTTTGTCAAGGAAGATTTCAATGGCTGAATACTCCCTGACCCTCTAACCTCCCGGCCTCTTTTCTTTTCTCTGTGCACCCTTTTCCCTCCTGCCTTGTTTTGTTGAAGGTTGTTGTTTTTTTTAGTCTTCTGATTCTGTGTCATTTGACCACCTTGCAGCAGGTCTTTGGCACCTGAATGTGGCTTTTGTGTTTGGTGAAGTGCATGGTGCCCAGCCAGGCAGGGCTGATCACGAAGCCTTTCTACATCTTCGAAACCACAAATTGCTCAGTCATTTGTCATCGAATTCTTACAAACTCTTTGTTCTGAAGGCAGGGCAGCATTATCACAGCCTTCATTTTCCAGCCCAGAAGGCAGCAATGCGTGATTTGTTAAAGGACGCAGGTCGAAGAGCGACTCGCCAGTGAAGACAATAGGAGAGGTCAAGGTGGGCAGAGTGAGTCGGGCTGAGATTTGCAGACTTTTAAAGAAGCCCTGACACCTTAAGTTAAAGATATGAAAGGCTTACTGGGTGAAGACGTTGGAGGGGAGGCAGAAATCATGACACAAAAACAAGTTTGCAAACTCAGATTATTTCTGGTGGCAACCCTCATAAAGAGATAAATTTTCTTTCTTTTTTTTTTTTTTTGGTACCAGGGATCGAACTCGGGTCTTTGAGCTTGCAAGGCAAGCGGCAGAACCACTAAGCCAAATCCCTGGCCCATAAAGAGATAAATTTGATGTCTAGATCTCTTGATTACTTTGGATGGGCTAGGAGTCCACTATACTGAGTCAGGACAAGTCTCAATTTAGATGCACATAGCTTGAACTCCAGCTATGTGCATCTAACGGTTTCTTCACCTCTTTGGGGTCACGTTTTGTGCTGGGGATGGGACCTAGGGCTCTGTGCATGGTAGGCAAGCACTCTGCCCTGAGTCAGACCTCGTTACCCTTGGGTCATGTTCTTGCTCCCAACTTTTGAATGAAGGGACCCTTAGTTTCTGCTTTGCTAAGAATATCTAGGCCATCAGGCTCTCAGATTGTCTCATTTTTCTATTTTCCACCTTTCCTGAGTATCCTTCTATTAATTCTGCTTTGTTTCCTAGAAAAAACCTGATCTTCTTTCTGGGGAAACCTCACCGTTCTCCCCCTCGGTGGGATTTCAAGCCAGCCCTCTTAATAACCCCCGATTCTCCTCAGTGCCCTCTTCTTGTCTGGCATGGAAAGACTTCCTGTTGACTCTAACTACTATGCAGGTGGACCTCGACAGGGCTTCTTTACCTTGGCTCCAGTGACCCGAAAGCTCTTCTAGCTGCCTAGTTCCCTGTTTGCGCCCTTTGCACATTGTCTGACCAGGGGCTGCTGCCACCTGTGTCCACTTTCTTTCCCCACCCCTCCTGCCTCCTGTCCTCTCCCTCTTATATCAGCGCTATGGGTGCTGCCCTTCCTCTTATTTTCTTGGTCTCCAATGAGCTATATTTGGCAATGACCAAGTTTTAAAATTTTTCTTTTTTTCTGTCTTCATATGTGAGTATTTTCTGCAACACTGGCCTTGGGATCCCATGACCTTGGGATTCTTTTCTCACTGATTCCTGTAACAGACTGCCCTCATTCTTTTCTAGGTTGGGCTGTCCCTGCCTCTTTCACAAGCCTCCTCAAGCACAAGCAAAAGTGATGTCTTCTCTTCTTTCTGTCCCCCAGAGAGCTCACTTAGGGCCTTCTCTAATGACCCATGATTATGAGAATGTGACACCGAGCTCTCTGCTTGTAATTTGGAATAAATACTCTGCGGTGCCCGGTTCTAACTACAGACTCATCCCTCCCTGGACAGTTCCCACTTGATAGCATGACAGCCTCTGAAGCCAAATGTGCATGAAATTAATTTGTCGTCTGTCCCCTAAAACCTGTTTCTTCCTCCTGAGTCCCCATTTCTGTTAATTATGTGAAAATCTCAGGACCACCTTTGATCCTTTTCTCTCCTGTCTCCTCTCCTATCGCCCTGTAAATCCTGTCACTTCCCCTGTTACCATGGCCCTAGGGTGTGTGTGTGTGTGTGTGTGTGTGTGTGTGTGTGTGTGTGTGCCCCTCACGGTCCTGGTGGGCACTTCTGACCTCTGCCTTCCCTGTCTCTGTCACTGCCTGCTGGGCCTGACTCCCGGCAGTCTGCCCAGTGCTCTTCTGGAGGGTTCCCCTCCATTTCCCAGTGCGGACTAAAGTCCTTGTACCACATCTGTCTCTGCTCAGACCCCGCTACAGTCTGGGAAGTGCCCTTGTTCTGGCTGCATCTTTGCTTTGGTTTGTGGCCTAAACCTCTGACACCTTTCTCTGTTTTCCAACTCCAGTGCTTCCCAGTGCCTCAGCTTCGTGGCCCAAGACGCATGCTGCTCACACAGCATCGATTGCATGAAAGGAGCGAAGCAGTTGGCTCTGTCTCCGTCCTGAGGGTCCCTCAGCGGTGCTCATGGAGCATGGCCTCAGGGCCTCAGCTGCACAGCACAGTCATTTGGGGGCTTTGAAAAAGCTCCAAGGCCCGTGCCTCAGCCCAGAACAATTAAGTCAAAACTTCTGGGGCTCTGACCTAGTTATTAGCAGTTTTTAAAGCTTGTCAAGTGATTCCTACATGCAGCCAAGAAGGTATGTGGACTGATATGTGACATTTTTGTAGATCAGTTTTTAGTGGTCTTGCATTGTTTTCTTTGTCCAACTGTTGGTCCTCATGGGATTCTTTGTTTCTGTAGCCTGGGTGATGTCTAGCGCTGTTTCTTATACTCAATGGACCTTCAATGAAACAAACCATTTTACATGACTCTAAGAATGAAAATAAATAAAAAGAGTCCATTTTTAGGGGGAGGCATGGAAATCAGCTCAGTGACTATTCCACACTGTAAGTGGTGAATTGAAAGCTTCCATAAACTGTTTCAAGCCCTTGGTAGAACCATGGGTACCATGCAGTTAGTATGCTAATTAGGTATTTATTAGTATTCATCTGGTGAGGCCCTATCTTGCTTATATTATAATAGCAATTAAATATGGTGCTGGATACAACTCCGATACTTTGAGTATCCAATCTACTTCTTAGTTTGTTATGGAGATTAAATAAGTAAAACTTCTAGAAGGCAAAGAAGTGTTAAAAAGCATAGTTAATGGGCCAGGGGTTTAGCTCAGTGGTGGCACTGCCTGCCTCATAAGTGCAAGGTCTTGAGTTCGATCCCTGGTTAAAAAAGCATAGTTAAAATTTATTATTTTTAATTAGTATATGTTTGCATTATATGATAAACCTTGAAACCATAATGTTAGTGAAATGAATCAGACATACAAGCTTAACTATCACATGGTTTCTCTTATCTAAGAAACCCAAAATATAAATAAAGAGCAAAATAAAAGGTGGATAATAGGAAATAGGGAGATAGATCTTTTTTGAATGGGAAGGGATCAAGAGATAGAGGGAAGGAAGAGAGGGAAAGGGATGAAAAAAGAATTAAGATATGTTATGTACATGTAGTGATACATGTATACTCCCATTTATAGCTACACAATTCATAGCTAAATCTTAGAACCAGGCTATCTGTCCATCAACAGATGAATGGATAAAGAAAATGTGGTATGTATGCACAATGGAGTACCACTCTGCCATAAAGAAGGATAAAGTTGAGTCATTTGTAGGAAAATATTATTTTTTTAAAAATTGGATTTTTAAAGAAATCTCAAAGAGCTTTTGTGAACACAATTGAATATATTAAGTCAAATGAAAAACTCATATTACCTTGGGCATATTTGCTTCATGCTGGAAAAATGTAATTCTGTAATATAGTTATCCTATCCTCATATGGTATTTACAGTTTGAAGATGTTGCAGAGTTTATTTTAGTCTGTGGAGATGGGAAGGAATTTAAATCCATTTGTACCTGGATTGTTGCTCTAGCAGGTAAAATGAGCTGAAATGATTTAGATCTAAAATGTCCTCCAAATATCTCATGTGTTCAGAATGGGGCTTTGGAAAGTGATTGGATCATAGGGCACTATATTCATCAGTGGATTAATCCACTGATGAGTTCCATAGCTGAATGTGCGGTAAAGAGGTGTGGCCTGAACAGAAGAGATAGGGTCATGGGGAGCACATTACTTGTATTCATGTTCTGGCTTTTCCCTGTTCTCTCTGCTTCCTGGCTTCCATAGGTTGAGCAACTTTCCTCTGCTATGCCCTTCCACCATGCCAGTTCTGCCTTGGAGTCAGTCCACCATGCATGGACTGAACCCTCTGAAACTATAAGCCAAAAATAAACCTTTTCTTCTTTAAGTGGCAGGTGTTTAGTATTTTATCCCAGTGATAAAATACTGAAATTATGAAAATGACTTATAGAAACAAATGGAGAACAAAGAAAGGAAGACTATTGCTCATGTGCTCTTTTCCATTTTTCTCGAAGAACAGGATGTCTTGTGGAGGCTGCTTAATGGTCTGGTCTCTGAAGTCTTACAGATTTGTGTTCAAAGTCTGGCTCAAGATCTAGATGTGGTAGTGTGTGCCTATAATCTGAGTTATGTGAGGGGCTGAAGCAGGAGAATTGCTTGAACCCAGGAATTTGTCAGCCTGGGCAACATAGTCTGGCAAACATCAGAAAGGAAAAATCTTGCTTTTGTTCAGTCTCCCAGCTGGTTGAGCTTAGAGGGATCGGCCTCTCTGAGCTGTAGTGTCCTAGGCTGTGATGCAGGGAGTAACACTGAGGTTTCAGTGTCATGGGGGATGAAGCCACATCATGCATGGAAGGTAGCTGATACTGAGGGTCAAATGAAAGTTACTTTTTCCTTAGAGCACTGTGGATGTTGATGATTCTTGTTTTTTCCCCTTACCTTAGTAGACTTCCTTTTAGTGTTTTTCAGAAGATGCATATCTGTGGTATGTTTGTAGAGAGAAATATGCAGTTTTATTTCAGGTCTGAAAATTGTTTATTGGTCTGTGGTCCACATCATGATATAGTTTTCCTTTTCTCCTGTAAATTCATCAAATGGTTGAATTCCTTTGCAGTGTCTTTTCCATAAATTCTACTCACCACACACCTTAAACCAAGCAGAATAAATGTAATGGTATAACATCATTACTATTTTCATAAGACGCGTAGAGGTCAATATAATAACTCAGCTTCCAAGGAAGTGATATTGCAATTTTTAAACATTTCTAAAGTGATTCTCAGCTGTGGAAGTTTCTGGAAATCAAGATTGAGAGTCTGCATACTTTGGGGGCTTCTGTTCAATTTATTGGCTTATATATAGATGGCTTGAACTAGCCACAGCAGTCTTTTATAAATCGCAAACAGGAGTTTGCCCTCATTCCTGCACCATGCACCAAATCTTATCAAAGCTTATTTTAGAAATCTTAAAAGAAGCCCGACATTTTGCTAAAGCAACTAGCAAATAGATTTCTCCTGCCCACCCTTGCTATATTTCCTTTCCCCATCTACACACAGCATGTGGTGCTTTGTGTGGTGCTATTTCAGTCTCATTATTTTCCTTATTGAAATTAATTTTTAAAAGCACAAAATGGGGCACTTTGCTGACCCGTGCAGAAAGACTTTGCATATTCAGCTGGAAGGGAGTTGAAGTGCTCATAAAGTGAATGTCAAGGGCCACTTACTTTGAAGTAAAATTAAATTTATGGATGAGGGAGGAAAGCCTAATTTTTATGTACCTCCACTCTAAAAGCCAGCTAAGACTTAGAGGGAAAACTACCTGAGCCAGTGAGAGTGGACCCATCCCATTTCATTTTTTTAAGCCCAGTTTGTACATTCTGTGGGGAGCAAAGGCAGAGGTCGGTTCAGGATAAGATTGACAGTGAATCTCTGACACAAAGCTGTAAATGCATTGGCATATTTTAGTACCTTGTCCTGATAGCTGGATCTTTCAATAAATGACTTTAGAAAGAAATAGATACAATATGTTTTTCTGTCCACCTCAATTTAAGTTGTCTGAATTTCCACTCACCGTTCAGTATTTCCCATTCCTGAGTAACTCATTAGGCTTTTTATTACTTTCTTTTCCAGCTTCTTCTGTTACAGGGCTATGATTCCCCAGTGAGCTGCCACATCTCTGGGTTTCCATGCTCGGGAACCTGCTTTCCAGGCCCAGTGCTAAGGAGCCAATCTGCATTCCACCCCTGTCCCAAAGTCCTTTTCCTGTTCTGCACAGCCCATCTTGTCTAAATTTATCAAGGGGGAAAGGAATGTTTTACTTTGGCCTGAAAAAATCCTTTCTGAGTCCTTACTCTGCTAAAAAACATGATATTTGAGAGAAACTGGCCAATTTAATATTGAGGCCTGAGCAGATCAAATGGTTTTGGAGAGAATATTTTTGTGATTGTTTCTGTTCACATGGTGACTGAAACAATCCAGGCTTCCCCGCATACCCTGATCATTAGGTGGCATTACAGAAAGTAGAACTAGCAGTCATGCTCAATTGAATTTTCCCCATCCTTACCTATCCCATGTAAAACAGTCAGTGTAGAGGATGTGCTCTTAGACAGATTTTTGCAACTACTAACTAGATTAGGGGTTTATTTGAATATCTGGGAAATCTTGGAGTTTGTTCCTTAATCCTGATAGGTTTCACCACAATTATTTTTAAAAAATGTTTTATTTTACTTTATTTTAAACATGTATTAACTGTACTAGTCAATGGGCTTCAGTGTGATATTCAGGACTGATCAAAACCAGCCTCCCTTTGTGGACCCTCCCTACCACCCCTCCCAGCCTCTCCTGATTGCTGTTCTACATTCAACTTTAACTTACACATGAGAGAGAACATGTGGACGTTGTCTTGCCTGGCTTATTTCACCTAGAGGAGTGTCCTCAATTTCTATTCATTTTTCTGCAAATGACAGGATTTCGTTCTTCACTCTGGGTGACCAACACTCTACTGTGTAGAGATACCACACTTTCTTTATCCATTCATTCCTTGATGGGGACCCAGGTTGATTCCACATCTTAGTTATTGTGAATAGAGCCACAATAAACATGGACATGCAAGTATCTCTTTGAAGGTCGATTTCATTCCCTTTGGGTGTTAACCCAGGAATGAGATAGCTGGACCAAATGGTAATTAGAATCCTAGTTTGCTGAGGAACCTCCATACCGTTCTCCATAGTGGCTGTTTTAATTTACATTCCCACCAACAGTGTATGAGAGTTTCTTTCTCTCCACTTCTTAGCCAGCATTTGTTATTTCTTGTTTTTTGATAATAGCCATTCATACTGGGAGGAGATGATAGCTCACTTTAGCTTTTTATTTTGCTGGTACTGGGGATTGAAGTGAGTAAGTTTTATTAGATTATTCCATGGTGTTTCTATCAGATGAAAAATGGAAAAAGGGGCAGGTTAACTTATGTGCTCATTTAAAATTTTTCAATACACTTCTTTCTTTTTTAATGGCTTGTTTCCATTAAAGAAACAATTCTTATTTTTATTTTATCTGTTTACAAATATGATACGTACTAATGGTAGAAAAAAATTTAAAATCCAATAAAGAATAGGTAAAAGAAGAAAGAAAATATTCATCCAAATCTTGCTACCAAGAAAGAATTATAAGCTTTTTAATGAATGCCTGAAAAAAATGTTGGTATGGAGCTCAAAAGAAACTATGGAAAAAGGTTATGATATGTGCTTAGGGTTTCGGTGACACTATTATTTCATCTTTATCCTCAATACTTTGGCCTGTGATCATGTGCCCTAGCTTGCCTCTGGGATGTCCCCTAAATGTTCATTCGTTACAGGCTTGGTCTCTTGTCTGCAGTGCTTCTGAGAGGTGGTGGAATCTTTAGGTTGTAGAACCTAGGGAGAGGAAGTTAGGTCATTGGAGCTGTGCCTTTGCAGGATACTGAGAATTCAGACTCTTTCTCTTTCACACTTTGCTTCCTGGCCACTTTAGGGGAATAGCTTTGCTCTGTCATGCTCCTTCTATGATGCATTGACTGACCACAGGCCCAAAGCAATGGGGCTGATGAACCATGGACAGAAACCTCCAAAATGGTGAGTCAAATAAACCTTTCTTATTTTTAAATTGATTGTCTCAAGTGTTTTGTTACAGTATTGGGAAGCTGACTAACACAGTCTCTGTGGAAGACATTGCTTGGCTCAGCCACATTTTATTATTTCCTTAGTTGCAGCTTATCCAAACCAACCAAAATATCTCATTATCAACAGTAAATCACAATATAGCTTGCCCATGTACAAAAGGCTGAAAAATGTGAGGGAGATCCTATAAGCCATAAACATCTTTGTTTTTAGTAAAACCTGGTTTAAAAAGTTGAATTTCTAAAAATGAATCCCCTTAAAATCTGTAGCAGAAGAGATATTTGTCATCTTCAGACTTGAGCATTTGAGGATCCATGTGAAGTGCTCCATCTGTTTCCCCCACTACTGTAGTAATTTGGGAAGAGCTGAGATGTGGAGCATCTGTCAGCCTTGGGCCCCGAGTCACGTGTGGAGCAGATCCCCCCGTCTGCCTCCCACCCTGCAAACATGAGTGAGAAATCAGCCTTTCTTGTGCTGAGTGTCTGCAGCCTCAGGGTCCACTTGTTAGTGTCTGTCTTGGCTCCCTCACCAGTAGATGGTGCTTTCCTTGGGGTCAGGAGCTTTCTGTATGTGCTTTTAAAACCTTTGTATCCTGGGAATCTTTTATAGTGTTTATGGCAAGTAGTAGATGCTTAGTGTGTCAAAAAATGGGAGTGAACTTATATTTGGCTGAACGAGGTATTCCCACTGGATAAACCTCTGAGTGTTGAGTGCCCATCGAGTCCTCCAGTGCTCCTATTCTCAGTCCCTCTCCTGAGGCTCCTCATCATCTGTTGGGGTGCAGGGCACTGATGCACGTGCATTCAGGGGAAAGAAAACAGAAAACCATGATATTTGACTTTGTCACTACCCTGTAGCCCATCCTGACACCTCACGTCTATCTTCATTTATATAAATCTGCCTCTGAAATGGGATTGAGACAATTTAGCTACTATTTGTTGTTTTTTTCAGCATGCAAAAATCAGAAACACATTATTATTATTATTATTATTATTATTATTATTATTATTATTATTATTATGATGTT